GAACTGCGACTCGGCTACACTGTCACGAGCGACTTTTGGGTCACAGGTCAAATGTGCATTTTCAAGGAAGGCCAGGCCTTTTTGCCATATTATATTCTTTTGGTGGAATTGTCGATGATGCCATAACAATCGACTACTATACTTTATTTTTCGAATGAAGTATTGTTTTCGTGACTACCAGTTATGAACATATATAGATTGTAAGATAGAGGCTTTTAGTCTTTTTGGGTTGATGTTAACTTGAAACTTTTGCATGAATGAGCTCCGGCCTTGATGACGTCCGTATATGATAGGCGAAGGCCTAACCCGTTCTCACCCGAAACTAAGGGGTATGCCTCGTGGATTGCATCAACTTGCTAGCCTTAGTCTAATTCTCCCTATTCCGTTTCTGGTTGAGCCAATTAATACCTACATCTACCTGGCAATTCCAGCTAGGCCCATGTTGTAGGATGTCATGTTGGCGGTGGAAATACTTTCCTTCCTCATGCTCTGCCACTTTAGGAGGTTTCATGTCAAGACAACCTTGAGTCTCACACGATCCAAGGCTTTTGTTTCACACCATCGGCTTTAGAATTCACGAGCAAAGAGGTCAGAAATTGTGAACTATCTTTTATATTGAAGTTGTTTAAACTTGTTTTCGCAACTCGGTCGTATTGGTAGCAAGACTTAGAGGAACACACCTAGTACGGAGTCCATTGTATGCATCATCATTTCGTCAGTGAGTCTCGCCATTCGGAGCACCATATTACAACTCGTCAAAGAGACAAAACTTGTTGATCGTTTGTCTTAACGAGATTTTCATAAATTCCCAACATCTGGCCCAAATGTGTAAAGTAAATAATATTAATTAAAAATTGTAACAGGGAAAGCACGATAGCAGGATATGGGAAATGTGAATAGCCCAGGGCAGAATGGGAGATACCACAAATGTTTAGCCCACGTTTGGTCAAAGGATGGGCTTCAATTGTCTCTTTGACGAGTTTTACTGTGGTGCTACGAATGGCGAGACTCACTGACGATGCCGGCGAAACGTCTGGGAATGTACCACGTCCACGGTGCTACTCTGGAAATGATGATGCATACAATAGACTCCGGACAAGGTGTGTTCCTCTAAGTCTTCCTACCAATGTGACCAAGTTGCGAAAACTTGGTCAAACAACTTCTATACAAGGAAAGGAGACTGCGAACACACAAAAGGCCATACCATCTTGGTCTTCATACCTTCGATTATCTTTTATATTCTCATGCTTAGTTGAACCAGACGCAGTGAATGCTTAGGTTGGCCACCTTTGTGAAGGTATTTTGTGCTTAAACTAATTTGCACGAACCTCAATTTGAGTTAAGAATAAAAGTTCCTTTTGTACCTGATTAGGGATTCTAGCGACTGGAGCAATTATTGACGGTTCGTCGCTCAAATCGCCCAGATTGTGATCAGCTCAGATGTGCTCCTCGGCAAATGCATTGACTCTCTAATGAACTCTTAAAGGAGTGATAGTCTTTCGGATGTGACGTTTTGTCCGTTGCTATGCTTAAAATGCATGATGCTTGGCAAAGCGTTAACAAGCTATACTGGTTGCAAATACGTGCCGTCATTTTGAGTGAAACCCCTATTTTTACTAGAAGTTAATGCAGTCAAAAGGTTCGAGGTTTATCGCGCTCATGAGGACTTTAAGCCACCCACTCACCCACCCATCCGTCCACTCGTCCACCCTCTCACATTACATCTCTTGCTTACTGGCACAAACACATGTACGCGGACATGAGTGTATATGCGGGAATGACGGCACGGCAAATCTCCGTTATGGCGGAAGTCTGTAGATTCGTGGATTTCATTGCATAGGGTTTATTGATAAATCTGAATTTCTCTGTGCTGGGGGTATGAATAAGTAGAAATTGATAAACTCATGCTGACTGGTGGTGAAAAATTCGATCCATCTACCGTCAATTCTCGCACATCGATAAGAGTACCTTATTCCCTGGTGATATGATGGCGGATTCGACTGTATTCCGACCGACCGAGCACATTGCGTCTGGCAACAAGTTCAAGGATAAATCGCTTTTTGCAGGTCTGGTTAGACTGGGCTCCACGTACGAGCGGCTAAAGGGGTCAACTGCACTTGCTTGTATCGCCATTCTGCTCCCAAGTTACGAACTGTCTTCTTTGTCACAATCCTCGTCCGCATCCGATGACCCAATAAAACATGGAGTAGTCTGGTTCTCCAAGCAATCTGCTCAAGCTCTATAAGCTCATTACACCAATTTCTCTCGTCGAGTCATATGTTGCTTGCCGGAAGAAAGAATCACAAATCAAAGATGATTGACCCCTTTTTTCCAGCCCAGATCTAGTGTGGGATAAACTGTCCGTCTGTTACTCCTCCGATGCCCATGAGGGTTGGGGTCGTTGCATTACCTCAGCAATGGACTGATAAAGATATCATCTGATGGCTGATTTCGGCAAATGATCTTTCAACCCCGATGGGTTTCTTTCCTTTCAAACTTGACGGTTTAGTACTCTGAAATGGTTACAACTAATCCAAAACCTCGCCATGCTAGCACATACAAATGGCTAATGTTAGGCTAGACTCGGATAGTAATTATGGTTGGTAATGCAAAATTTTACACAAAAAATTGCTATCAAACGTGAAATAATGAACGCTAATTAGCCTGAAAGTACTTTAATTTGATTTCATATTGGAAGGTATGAAGGCCAGGACGGTGTGACCTTATGTATGATCGCGGTCTCCTTTTTGTGTATAGAAGTTGGTTGACCTTGTCTTGCAACTTGGTCATATTGGCAAGAAGGCCTAGAGGTAATCACCTCTTCCGGAGTCCATAGTATGCAGGATAATATCCGAATTCGCACCGTGGACTTGGTACATTTCAGACTTTTCGCCGGCATCGTAGTCAACATCATAAATTAATCTTGCCAGTCTCAGCAAAGAGACAACTGAAGTCAATCCCTTGACCAACTTTCTGTC